CAGCGGGGCTGCCGCCCACCCCGCCAGCCCCCCACGGCCCCCCAGGTCGCAGCCCCGTACCTCCCAGCAGCCACATCCCGCCAGCCGCTGCCTTGAGACCCGGGTTTTCCCAAGCAGCAAAATCAGTTTCCCACCGAACAAGGCCCCACAGCCACAAGTGATGGGGACTCTCTGATGTCTCATAAAGGATTGGGCACATGCTACAGCCTTCTCCTGGAGAGCAGCGATGGGCTCGCTCATAGCCAGCTGTCACCATACCTAGAGAAACTTGATACCCTCGAGATGTCCAAGCCCAGAGGCAAACACCTGGTCGGCAAACCCCTAGTAGCTCCTGGCCGCACCACCCCAGGGCAGAGCAGCCCACGGGAGCCCTCCTCCACCAAACCCCACAGGCTGCAGCTCGGGAACTGGCCTCTGCACCCCAGATCCCCACCAGCACTTCGGCACTGGTTCCCAAGCACTGAGCGAGGCTGGAGAGATGTGGACATCCACCACGTACCTGGTGATGAGACACCCCAGAGCCTTCTCGATGCTGCAACCACCGCCCGCATCTCCCTCCCAAATCCTTCCTCTCCATCCTCCTCCTCCTCCCTCAGCACAATAACCTCGGCAGCCACAGAGGTGCCCAGGGTCAGCGCCGGGTCCCGCTCGATATCCGGGCCGGTGCTGACCCTTGCGATGCCGGGAGCAGCCGCAGCACCAGCCACCCCGGCACACCAGGGCTGCTCCCCACCTCCAGGCACCAGGACACCAGCAAGCCACCCCCGCTCAGAGACGTGCTGTCAAAAGTGACCCCCCGGCATCCCGGACCCCTTCCACGGCAAGCCAGCACCAGGCAGGCACGGCCCTCCTGGCCCCCCCACTCAGAAGGGATGTGGACCCCAAAAGAGGGGAGCAAGGCACCCTACTCCCTCCAGCCCCCAGGAAGGGGGTCCCCTGCCCAAACCACCCTGAGGACGGTGACTCAGTGGTCGGATTTGTGCTGCACAGGACGACGCTGGGGTGGCATCAATGCCAGTTCAGCCCATGTCACCCCACAGGGAACCTCCTGGGGTCCCACGTCACCTCCCTAGCACGGTCGCCTGACCTTCGTGCTGCCCATGTCCCAGCTGGGCTGCGCATCACCTCCCCATGTGCTCCACAGCTCTCTGCTCACCCTGAGACCCTGCCCCAGGCAAAGTGGGGGGAGGTCCCAGCAACAGCCAGGGGCCACAGCAATCCCCCAGCCAGCCCCAGAGCCCCCCCCCCCCCCCCCCCCCCCCCACCCCTGCCACAGACACCAGTCCCTGCCAAACTCAGCCATGGTGTGGGGCAGAGCAGGAGGAACTTTCAGGGGACTGGTTGCAGCCGCCAAGTTGGGGACGTCAGGGAAGGATTTCCCCTCTCCAGCACCCCTGTTCCCCACTTCCCGGCAGGATCAGCTGCAGCATCCTTCCCCCCTGCCAGCCATAATGGTCTACAGGGTCCGGGATCAGAAAGTGCCCCTCCGCCCACCCCCCAGCCCGCACAGGGGTCAGGTCCCCCCTGCCCACACCACGTGCTGCCTGCTCCTGCCCTCACATTTCTTGCAGCTCTGGCAAATCTCCTGTTTATGCAATAAGTCCCCAGCGGGAGGACGGCATGTTTGTTTGCATCCGCACCCGCTCCCCCCTCGCCCCAGCTCCACCCTGCCCGGCACAGCCCGTGCAGAACCCCGACCCGGGGGTCCCGGGGAGGGGGCAGCACCCTGGCACCACGTAGCCCTTCTCTGCTCCCACCAGCGCTCAGGGGCTCTGCTGCTTTTGGGGTTTCTGCCCTCGGGTGGGGGTAACTGGCGGCTGTGCTGAAGAGCTGGGGAGCGGCTTGGCCAGCGGCTCGGGGTGAGTCAGGCAGGGCTGACGCCGGGGCACGGAGGTCTCGCCGCTCCCAGGCTTCCCTCTGAGCATCCCCGGCCCGCCCCGCAGCTGGGCCAGGCACCGTCC